GAGATTTACAGGGTTTGACTCTAAAAACAGCAACCAAAAAAAGAAAAGAAACGCAATTTCATTGTGGATCAAGTGTATTTTATTTAACAAATAAAGTCTCTCTATATTTATATATTTTGTGTTTTTTTCCCTCATTCTCACCGTTTTACAGTAAATGTTCCTTGTGACACAATTTATTTCGCATTTGCTTCACAAAAACGTAGGGACCTAAAACAGAAGTAACATCCCCTCTTAGTCTGCTCTTACACAGAGCATCACCAGTAGAGTTTCACTGCTTAATCAAGAAGCAGAGACAGATCTTTGTTTCCCCACTGCATTCTAAAATACAAGACACCTATGAAAATCTCCAGCTACATAACGAGGGATATCAAGACGGTTCTGAATTTCAGCCTTAAACCACAGTTTTGCAGGAGCCCCTTCTGTTTCTCACTAGAGTGAATTCTCTGCATGTGCCTTTTTACATCATCCTCACAGCAGAGCTATTTGAACAACTTTCAAGGTGCACCTCCAGCTTTGATACACCACACAAATAGGTGCTGCATGTTAACACTTCTATTGACAGCGATCTCACAGCCACTCCAGCAATCAAAATACACATCATGAAATAAGGTAGAAACAATATCAGTACAACTTCCTTAAAAGTACAGGTGAGTCCTCCTAACTTTAACCTCATCCATTCCAGGTCACAAAAAGCAGAGTTCAGCACTTCAGCCAAGACAAGCAAAGGGAAGCTTGTAAATTCTCTGTTCCAGCAAGAACGTCACAGTAAACCACGGAGAGTAGTATAGGACTGCTAAATAGCCTTTGGAAGAAAGAACACCTAAACATATTGGTTTCCTTGGAAATGTTCTGGTGCCTTATTTGTGAGAAAGCCCAAGAAAAAAAAAAACTATCAGCTTCGTTCTTAAAAACTGCTCTCTCCATGTTTTCCTCTTGTCCTTTTGAAAGCCTGGATAACCTTGCTAAAACTAGCCAGGAATACAAAATCTGTGAATTAAGTAGGTGGAATGAAGGCACAGCTGGTACATCTTACAGGGCCAAGAGCCCTGACCTGATCTTTCGTACACAGGAGTCAGATCTTCAGCTTAATGGCATGAGTAATTCACACCTACTCCAGTTCTTTGTACAAAAGATGGCTCTCTTAAGGGATTATTCCAGCACGTGAAATGGGCAATGAATGAAATCTTTCAAAACTTCACGAAAAGCTTTCTTCCACCACTGCACTGAGTCAATCTTCCCTTGAAGGAACTGCATCAAGGGAAGTTCTCATCCTGGAAATATTTTCTGATTTATTTTCTATTTCAGTTTAAAAGCTCAAATAGAATCACTTGGGTTGGAAAAGACCTTAAAGATCGAGCCCAAGCACGACCTAGCCATACTACCCTAATTCTAACAACCCACCATTAAATCATGGCCCTGAACACCACATCCAAACAGATTTTAAACACATTCAGGGATTCTCAACCACCTCCCTGGGGAGTCTATTCTAGTGCTTAACGACCCTTTCTGTAAAGAAGTTTTGCCTCATACCCAACCTAAACTTACCCTGGCACAACTTGAGGCCATTTCCCCTCGTCCTATCATCAGGGAGAAGAGACCACATCACTCAACCAAAGCTGTGACAACAGCAATAACAGTCTGTGGTATAACAACAGTAGTACTAAGGCACCTGCACTGGAGAAACACTGAAGATTTCACTGTGGATTCGAGATAAGCCAGATATTTAAAGCCCTTTCTCTTTTTAACAGGAGAAGAGAAATTCATGGGATTCATTTCTTCCATAGACCTCAGTGACATTGAATAATCTAAAACTTTCAAGGGGAAAACAGTTCCAGTCAGATGCCGGATGATAATACATCCTAATCATAATAATATTTCAGTGGGGAAAAGCTGTACATTCTTTCAGAATGCCAACAAAAAACTAAAAACAACCACCACCCTCGGCACAAGTCCCAAAGAAACTTTTTCTCAGTTTCACACAACAGTCCTCTCACCAGCTCATATGCCTACAGAACTCACATGGTTTTTCCCCATTAATTTCAAGGATAACACTGCAATTTTCTCGGCAAGTTTATAGCTTTGGATCTCTCTCCTACACACACAGATTCTTCTCTAAAGAAATGAATAACCCTTCAGAAAGGCTGAAGAAAACCCAGGCCTCCCTTTGGATTCCAAAGCCAACATTCTATTCTGCAATATTGCTAAGCAGTATGAAACAGCTTATTTCTATCGATCTTGTGGTTCTCCTGCCAGACTTAGTCCTCCACGTGCTAAGTCTGTCTGCAGTCTCCTGTAGTGCTGGTAGACAGCGATATAATTAAGCTCTGTGAAATGCTCTTCAAGGCAATTGCCTTGAAGATAAGTGGCTCCTACGGAATGCCTCAGGCTTCGTTGTTTCTCAGGGTTTGCGTTCTAACGCTGAACTAGAATTTAAAATTAAGTCTTTTTTTCAGTCCCACAAGAAGTCCACATTGCTCATTTCTTTCCTTTCTGCACAAAAGCACAGGCACACTCTCAGTGCCTGAAAACCTTACTGGGGAAAAAGAAAATAAAGATATAACCCTCTCTGCTACCATTTTTTTTCCCCTTTGTCCTCAGCCATCCATCTGAATGTAAGTGTTACACTATGGCTCACATCTGTAAGAAATCCTTATAATAGTATCTCAATTTAAATTAAAAAAAAACCAACTCAGAGGTACCTCTTGAAAAAGATTAACGAGCAAATTGGAAGCAAATCAATTGAAAGTACAGGATAGATATTTAATTCTCCCAAGGACTTTCCTACTCACGCTTATTATACAGGCAGATATTCACATGCATATGTGCAATGCTATAATGTGAACAAGAGCACAGCAGTAAGAGCAGAGCGGCACAAACACAGGCTACAGCAAATAAGAACAAATCCAAATGCAGCAGCTACCACAGATGCAGAAACAAAGCAAGAAAAACTGCTTGGCACCAGAAGGCCTCCAGCAGGCCAGAATGTCCACCAAGATACCCTCCCCCCACTGCCAACCCTCAAATGAGTTCTGGGAAGGGGTGAATTCTGGCTCCATCCCTTCCTGTCACTCAGTGGCATTAAATGCACCTGAGCTCCCCTGGCTTGGCCCTGACTTCCCACCAGGTGCTCAATCACTGTTTCAAGCCCTGACTTAGCATTTCTGCTATAGTAGGAAATGAAAACTTGCTTTCAAAGTGTAACAAAGGGAAACCTGCACTGAGATCATTGATAGGAAAGCATTATGTTACAGAGCGTCAGTTTAATGGATCATGAGCGATCATGAAACATTGCTAAAATGGAAATGGAAAGTGTTAAAAAAAAAAAAAAAAAAGTTTGATCCTTCACTTCATTTGGCATTTTCAGCTCCCTGCGTGTAAAATGGCTGTGGTACTTCTGGTATTCACTGTCTGTGGGTGGCAATAACGAGAGATTGCAGTGGCTGCTACAAGTCAAACGTTCACAATGAAAAGACAGCCCTTTGTAGCACGTTCTTACAGAGAGAAGAGCAGCTAGAGCTTAATTAATATATGCATAAATATATGCACTAACATGTATGTATATATACAGTGCCCAATACAACACTGAGCTTAGCTAGCATCTTTTCAAAGGTGCTGTGGTATATATATAACTAGACAACAGCAATATGCAAGGGCTGCTCCAGAAGTTGGCCCGTGGTAGATGTTGGTGGTATGACAGAAGAACCTTCCCACCAGTATTCCATGACACTTTGCTGCCATGTGACAGATGGCAGCAGGGCAATCTGACAAAATGGCACCTGATACGGAATGGCGTATGAAGCAAAGGTGTGTCATTCAATTCCGTCATGGTTTGAAACCACTTCCCCTTTTCCAGGCCCTGGACAACAGACCCTGCTAAAGAAAAGAGTCCGTCCCCTGCTTTCTTATCACCTCTCTATTGATATTGAAAGGCTGCTATCGGGTCTACCCGAAGCCTTCTCCAGGTTGAACAGTCCCAGCTTTCAGCCTGTCCTCATAGAGGAAGGTTCTGTCCCTTGGAACGCTTTTCTGTGGCCTTTCCCTGGATGCCCACCAGCAGGTCCTTGTTCTTGTATATGTAAAGGCCCACTGCTGTAAAACAGGAGGCATTACTTTCAGAGCAGACCTTGCACGCTGGAACACAGAAAGAGACAAGGTCCAGGATCTCAAAACATGAAGTGAAGTTAGCACTGTGTGGAAAGGGTGTTTGGACTAGGTGACCTCCACGCATTGCTTTCAACCAAAATCTTTTTATCAAGTAATTCCTCTGCAGTCATTCTGAGCTGTTCGTTACAACAAATTCATTCTGGCATTTTAGGCAACAGTTAATAATTATTATGGACACAACCCAGTTCTAATCACCTGAAGGACTGGGCAATTCAGTTCTTTTAGCTGAGGGCTTATAACACTGGTGAATATGTGTACAAAATCCTGCTTCGAAAGTAAGTTTGGACTTTTGAGCAGAACTTAATGGTTGCAGAATCCTCCCTGTCTGAACTGGATGCCAGGAAATCTTCAGTTTGCTTGAGGAGGAACAGCATGCTGTTCTGGAAGCTGGAGCCTCAGCTAATGATTCAACAGAGATTTCATGAGATTAAACTGTCAGTTAGCTAGGCTGGATCTTGAGGATGCTGCGGGTGGGGATGCTTCAAGCACGTGTGGAAAGGTGTCCTCTGAGCTCTGGCACAGTCCCTGCTCTGTGTGCTACAAGAAGCAGGGGTGGATGCAGGGCTGAGTGAGACCCAGGCTACAGGCAGTTGGTACTGTGGAAACATCCAGTTCCTAACCAGGGGAGGTTATCACCTGGCCCTTATGGTGACACCCATAGTGACACTTGCATTCCTGGCTGTAAGAGCAGGTTACTCACCAACTCAGGTTAATGGCTAACCCTAGGGCAGCTTCTGCAGAAGGTGGAAGTTCAGCCCACTATAGGGACTGCGTGGATTCCTTGGGGGGGGTGAGACCCTGCCCTGCAAACTGGGTGGCAATTAGGGAAGGAAGCATCATGAATAGGGGCCACCATCCAGTGGCTGGTGCTGGGAACCCTGCACTCACACCCTGCCCCTGGCCAAAGATGTGCTCCTGGATGCTGAGCTGCTGCTTAGCCCTGCAGGTAAGAAGGAACTGCAGTGAAATGGGGTGATGGGAGAGGTCTGGATCTTGTCAGAGGCAGGAAGAGGCTGCATCCTGCTATGGCAAGCATCCTTGTAGCTCTGGCCAGGGTGTGCTGGAAAGAGAGAGGACAGCAGGAGTAGTGCTGCACCCATGCAAGGTGTTGGGCATGGGGGTGGTGGCACTGGGTGCCATGGAATGTTGTGACCATATGCCCTTTCCCTTCTGCAGCATCTTGCCATGCAGGCTTCCCTGCTCTGCATTTTCCATCTGTTACTGCTACCTGCCCTGTCTGAGGAGCAGCTCCGCACTCCAGCTGCCAGTGTGCTGCTGGCACGCAGCCTCTTCGCCTGTGGCATCTCCACATTGTTGCAGACCACCCTGGGAAGTCGGTGAGCAAAGGGAGTGATGCTGGGCCAGGGCATGGCTCTGCACCCTCTGAGCCTGGGTTTGGATAGGTTTGGATGGAGGTAGGAAGGGGCACAAGGGCTGGGTTTTCCAAAATGACCCCTTGCCCTACATCATGGAACAGACTGTCCCCTCTCTGCCACTGCTGAATCCTTCTCTCACCTCTCCCTCCAGCATATTGCTGTGTTTTGCAGCTCCTGGCTGCCTTGCTCCAGCATCGTGCACAGCTATCATTGTCAACACTGATGTAGGGGTGAACATGTGCTTTTGGGGTGTGTCCAGAGGCTTTGCCAAGTGCTGTCTGGATGCACTCAGGATGTGCTAAGGCATATTTGGTATATGGGGATCTCACATCTTCCTACCCTTCAGGTCCTAGAGTTTTGAGAGATCTCAAAGCCCCTTTTTCTCCCTAACCTGCCCTTGCTGTCCCCCTCCCCAGGCTGCCACTGGTTCAAATCCCATCATTCGAGTACCTGGTCCCTGCCTTGGTGCTGAGCTCCCACTTGTCCCTTGGAGTCAGTGAAGATGGGAATGGTAAGTGCAGCCCTGGAACCTCTCCCCTGTATCCTGTTGGATCCTAGGCCATGCCAGCGCATCTGGGTAGGGGTGAGGGATAGTAAAGGGTCCTGCTGGCTGGCTCCTCTGGTGATGGAACGCAGAACCCTGGGTACCCTGCTCACTTCTGGTTACAAAGACAATGTGTCTGGGGCCACAAATGAACGATTTGCGGCTTATATCATGCCCTGAGCCAGGAGCAGTGCTTTCTGGGATGTGCTTGCTGTGCCCTTCTCCAGCCAGCAGTCCTATGTTGCATGCCTTCAGACCCGATGTTCTACAAGCTTCACCCCAGGTGGGCTCAATGCCTGTGAGTCTCGCATCCTTCCAAAATTCTATTCCAGGCATGGCTGTGGCCACCGTGTGCCCTGAACCACACTGCACCATCACGGAGAGCAGAACGGCCTCGTTGCGAGAGGTGGGTGCTCCTTTAGTGCTCCTGTTGCTATCTGTGCCCCTCAGCCCCTGTCCCACCTCTGCCATAGCTCTCCAGGGAATTGCACAAGGAGGTGTGCAGAAGTAGGGGGAATGATGCTGTACATGTGTTCCCCTGGGCATGGGGTGAGCACAGGGCCGGAGCACAGGGAACAAATGTTCATTTGGGGGTGACTGGGAAGGATTGGGATGCTCTCTGTGTATTCCATTCTTTCCCCTGCAGGTGTCTGGGGCTGTGCTGATTTCTGGGCTGGTCCAGCTGGTCCTGGGAGCAGTGGGTGTGTGCGGCTGGGCAGTGCAACGCTGTGGGCCCATGGTCCTAGCCCCCAGCCTCTCTATCATCGGGCTGTCTGCCTACAAGGAGGCTGCTTTCTTCTGCTCTGCCAACTGGGGTGTAGCGCTGCTGTACGTCAGTCTGGGAGCCAAGCTTGTGCGCAGCCCTGTGTGCTTCCCTGCCATAGGGATGGGAAAGAGGCGTCCCCATGGTGCCAGGCACACGTTTGGGGCTCCATATCTGTGATGCTGCATGGTGCTGTCTTGTGCCTCTTCCCAGGCTCATGCTCCTCACCATCACCTTCTCCCAGCACCTGGGATCCTGCCGCCTGCCCTTCTGTGCCTGGCCCTATGCCCCAGGGGTCTCCATGGAGCCATCTGTCCCCACCTTGCGCACTCTCTCGGTACCACTGTTCACACACTGCTCAGCATGCTGCATGTGGGCTCCTCTGGGGTCCTGGTAGGGTTAAGGGGAACTTGGTGGTCCTGGGGTGGAGTTGGCTGCTGGGGGCAGAAGAAGTGGGTGAGTTCTGGGGTAGCATCAAGGCCATGGAAGCATTGGAGACCTATGCAAGAAGGTGCTTGGGGCAGCACCGGGGGCCATAGGAGCACTGGGGACATAAGCAAGAGGGTGCTTGGGGCAGTACAGCTTGGGGTGCTCCCTGTGGGCTAAGGGGAGATGTGGCAGAGAAGTGACGGGGTTGTGGCAGAATAAGCAGGGTTACAGCCAAGGAGAGCAGGCAGGAGGCCCTCTCCTCAGGTTAGCGCTACCTTACAGGTCCTCCTCCCATTTGCTGTTGTCTGCACCATCTGTTCTATCGTCCACCACTTCCATGTCTCCTGGGACTTGCCAGATCTTGCGACAGCACAGCTTTCCTGGGTCAACAGCACCCTTCACACCCCATGGCTTCAACTGCCCTATGCAGGTGGGGTTGCAGGGCTGTGTGTGGCTGTCACCCCTTGGCAATGTCACTTGTCCCCTCTCTTCTGCTGCAGGTGAGTGGCCGCTACTCACCCCCCGGGCGCTGGCAGTGGGCATCGCTATGGCCTTCGGCTGCAGCATTAACTCCGTGGGCTGCTACGTGCTCGGTGGGAGGCTGCTGCGAGCCCCCCAGCCTCCTCCCCACACCTGCAATCGAGGGCTGTGCTGCGAGGGGCTGGGCAGCCTGCTGGCAGGGCTGCTGGGTTCTGCAGGGGGCACGGCTGCCAGCATCGCCAATGCCTGTGCCGGTGGCCTCACACAGGTGCAAATGGGGGGAGACTGGTGAGGGTGGGAGCACGGAGGGTGTGGGGAACCTACTGCTGTGGTACTGGGCTCTGGCTGCTGGAAACAAAGGGCTGAATGGCAAGTCTGCATGGCAGGGTGGTTCTCCTCATCACCCCTTCCTTCTTGATGCTAGGATGGCTCTCGCCTCTCAGTGCAACTCAATGCACTGGCGTGTGTGATGCTGGGCATGTCCCCAAGGCTGGTGGGATTCTTCGCTCACATCCCTCTGGCAGTTCATGGTTGGTGTTTTCTCCTCCCCCTGTGCTGCAAAGCAGCAATGTGTGCCCACATCCTGCAAGATTCCTGCCCCACGCAGGTGGTATGCTCTGCGTCACCTATGCTGTGGCCGTGGGCACGGGGATCTCGTACTTTCAGTATGCAGACATTGATTCTGGCAGGAACATCTTCATCGTCGGCTTTACCATGTTCATGGCACTGCTGGTGCCACGGTGGCTCAATGTGTCTCCAGCTCGCCTGATCACAGGTAGTGGGGATGTTCCGTGGGCATGGCAAAACCTCAGTCCCGTGGCATGGCAGCTACCTGTTCCTGCTGTCATGGGAGGCTGATCTTATGGTCGGGTCCTGTCACTCCAGGCTGGGTTCCCTTGGACCTTCTCTTCCTCTCCCTGCTCGTGATGCCTGTCTTTTTAACTGGCTTCTTGTCCTTCTTTCTGGAGAACACAGTCTCAGGTAAGGGGATGCTCTGGATGCTGCAGTGTGGCCCCGTGAGTCCCTGTTCTCTGGACCTGGCTGCGGAGTGCAAGGGGTCAGTGCTCCCATCACCCTGGTTGCAGGCACTCTGGAGGAGAGAGGTCTGCCTGCTGACAGGGTACAGCGGAAACCTGGGACAAGTTCTGGTCAGCCCTCGAGAGAGGCGAGAAAAGCCAGCCCTGTGTATGGGCTTCCAACCAGGCTGAGGAGGCTGCTGCCCTCTTCTTGCAAAGCCTTCCCCTGCTGCTTCCTCTGCCCAGGAAGAGAGGATGAAAAGGAGGAAGAAGAGGATGGTGGCCGAGAAGCTGAGGAGGGGATGGCTGCTGCAGGGGAAGGGACACACCTGCTCCTGAAGCCTGGAACAGGGGAGATGCAGGCAGACAGGCAGCCAAGCCAAGCAGAGATTCTCACATGGCACACAGGGGCCTGAACAGGTAGGGACACCTCATGGGGGACATAAACCAGCCCTCCGAGGCAGCTTGTAAGCCTCTCCTCCTCGCTTCTCAAACCTTCATGGGCAGAAGGCAGAAGGGACCTGCTCTTTCACACTCATTGTGGACCTCATTTCCCTGCTTCAGAAGGGAGTTATAAAAACTTTCAACCACCTCTGTGCTTGGGCTTTCTTTTCTGGACAGGATTTGTCTGGGAGGTGCCAGTCTATGACTGTGCCTGCAGAGAACACAACCATACCATGCTTTGCTGCAGCTGGTAAGGTGGGTGCCCCTAAACCCCATCTTCACCCCTTGGGTGCTAACACCTCCCACCTGCTGGGGCAGGGCTCGATGCTTTGGGTAGCTGGTACCAACCAGCCTTTCTGTATTGGCAATGTATAAAGGCAAGAAATGATGCCCAGGAGTGAGATACTGTCCCCTGTCTAGCAGTGCCAGAGTGCTGGGCTTCACACGGTGGATAAGCGTTTTGCTGTTCATTTCCCATGGCAGCAAAAAGGCACAGAGATCCTCTGAGGAGCTGTCTGGTTACACTAGCAGCAGTGAGGTCTGCATCAGCTAAGCTCCAGTTGCAGCATTCACAGATCAGAGTTCAGGAGCATGGCCCTCACTCCCAGTGCTGCCTCCACCAGTTTGAACTGGTTCGTGACAGCCCAGCTGGGGAGGGATCCCTGCAGTTCCAGTGCACTGCAGACAAGGACAGAAGGTCTTGGGCTGAGAGGACATGGGAGCCGGACTACCGGAGTGTTATCACCAGGCTGGGTTACAGTGCCAGGCTGTGGTTCCTCCTAGACTGGTCCCAAGGGGCACCATGATACTCAGGAGCACCCAAAGTTGGCTGCAGGGAGGGAAAAGAGTGTGGGTGCAGCTTCCCAAGGGCCAGTCGTTTTGCTGTCTCATACGTGCATGCAGAGGGCATGCAGAGCAGGGACTCACTCAGGCAGCATCCTCTGTCCCAAACTCCTGCACTACAGCTCTTCCTGCACCTAATTTGGCCATGCACCCCACACTCTCCTGCAGCTCAAGGCCATATTTTAGCCATGCAAATCTTCTGGGACTACTTCCCCTGTGCACTGCACCCTGAACCTAGCTGCTGGGTGGGGACCTGCAACCTTGCTGTGCCCCAGAGCACCCCAGAAGAGCAGCATCATGAGTACATGCCCCCATGGACACCCCCACAGTAGCTGGGGTGAGCAGTGAGCCCAAGGCTGCCGTATGCCATCTGCCTGCACTGTGATGCAGGCAAGACTTCCCCCACATCCCAAACGCTTGCACCAAATTCTTTCCCCGTGCTGGTGACGTGTGGCACTGCACATCCCAGTGTGCACCGGTCCCTTTGCGCAGCACGGAAGAGAACAGCATGCTGGGAGCCGTAGTCTGGCCCTCACCTCCGGCCTGGCTGCTGCAAAGCCGGCTGTCCGCAGCCTTGGGCTGCCCACTGCTCTGCTCCTTGGGTAATTGCACCCACAGAGCCCCATCCTGCTGGGCAAGGCACCTGGGCACCTGCCTGATGGGCAGAGGGTGCCTGTGCAGAGCCAGGCTGGGATCTGCCCCGCGCCGGTCCCAGCAGAGCTGTGCACCCATGCAGGGGTGCGTGGAGCTGCCTGAGCAGCTTCACCCTGGGCATCACAGAGGGGCTATGTGGGACCAAGGGTCTCTGTGAAGTTGTCCCACAGAGCTTTGCCGGGGACAAGGCAGAGACCTGTTTGTTCTCTTGCAGATGGAGTGCTCCGAGGAGCTGGAGAGCAGGCTCCTGACCCAGCCTTGGGCTTCTGTTTGCTTTGACGAGTCCACTTTTATTGCCAAAGCTTGCTTTGGGGATACAGGTTACATGCTGCTGATCTCCGACCTCAGTGGTGTCTGGTATGAGAGTGCTGACGCGGAGGCTGTGGGGCAAAGGTCCAAGGTGAGTGTCTGGAGAGTCCAGGGACTTCTGATCGTCCTCGTGCCAGCTGATGTCCCAGCACAAACTACTGGGTGACACAGCAGCTGGCAGGGTGCAACAGCAAGGCTGGATACAAACACCCACCTGAGCAGTCCTGCTGCTGCTGTGCTCCCTGCTTCCTGGGTAGGTTGGGGTGGGGGAATGTCGTGGAGCTGGGATTCACAGCCTAAGGGTGGCTTTTCCCAGCACTGGGATGCATGCACAACAGCGATCTGTCTCAATGCATGCTGGGGTTCCCGCTCGTTTTGCTCCCAGAAACACCACCTGAGGTGGAAGAGACCTCAGGGCTGAGCAGAGCTACCCAGAGCCGACCCCTGACGGCCCTCCCTTGCTTTTCCCCAGGAGCTGAACAAGCGGCTGACGGCCCACGTCTCCTCGGTCTTGCAGCGCCTGCACGGCCTCCTGAGCCCCGCGCTGGCAGGGCAGCCGCACGCCGCCACCTCCTTCTCCTGCCAGCGCCCGGCCGGCGGGCTCAGCCTGCGCGTGAGGAGCGAGCTTTCGGGGCTGCCCTTCTACTGGGACTTCCGCTGCCTCCCCGCTCCCGTGGCGACGGTGAGGCGGACCGCGTCGGGGCGGTGCGGGGCTGCGGGTGCGGGCGGGCTGTGAGGCACCAGAGGGCGCCCTGCGCTCGCTCTAAGGCTCGTGGTACCGGCCTCGCTGACAGCCCCGAGTCCGGGCGGAGGAGGTGCGGAGCGTTTGCCCTGCGCTCTGCGGCGTGGCCGGGCTGAGGGTTTGCGTGCCCAGGGCTCTGCCGTGGGGAGCTGCAGCCTCTTCTGGTCTCCTTTTCCTCCAGCTGTGTTTGGACGCCCGAGATCCTTCTGATTTTTCACCTAGTGTAGCCATTTTCCTGTATAGCGGCGCACAGATCCATGGGGAGGGTCTAGGTGGGCCAACCGAGGGCTGGGGGCACAGGGTGGGCTCTCCGTATCCTGCTCTGCCCCCCAGGTGGCACAAGGAGCATGGCCGCTGTACCCTGTCCCCACTGGGCTCCTGCACGTGCTGCAGCTCCCAGCTGTGAAGTGGCAAGGATAGGGTGGAGGGATGTGCCGTGCAGCATCCTTGCTCCCTTCTCCTTGCTCACATCTTAGGCCCATCCTAGGTGTGCCGTCACCTTGTGCGTCCCCTGATAGGGATGAGCCTGGCTTTGCAGCACCAGGTGCAAGAGCTGACCTCCCTGCTGCTCCGAAAGGATGCTGAGATTGAAGACTACAGGGAGAGCGGGGCCACTCTGAGCAGAGGTGAGGAGGCTCAAACAGCGAGCTGGCATGCTCTGTTCCCCCTGGCTATCACCCAGCTACACTTGCGTTTCACGTTCAGCCGCTCCAGCAGCAAGACGGTAGCTGGGAGGCTGGGGAGAAGCCCCTTGGGGACACTGAGGGGAGGAACAGCCCTTGACTGGTAGCTGGAAGACTTGGGGAGTCGCCAAGGGGCTCTCCGCTTTGCTGAGAGCACACTGGCTGCTCCCCAGGAGCCTGTGCTGAGGCCAGCAGGGGCTGGTCCTGGAGCCGAGTCCGGTTCCTTCCTGCGGAGCTCTTGGAGAGCAACCAGTAGCTCCAGGCTTGACTGTGGTGGAAGTGCAGCTGTGTGCATGGGCCCCTGTCCAGCATGCAGCCTGGTGTGGAAGATAGGAAGGTGGAAGCCCCCAGGAGAGGACATGGGTTAGGTCCTGCTGAGGGGACTCTTGAAGGGTGCTCTCTGTCCCTGAGAGTGTCTGAATGCATTCAATCTGCCCAGCCAGCTGTGCTCACTTGCCTTGTTCTACAGAGCTTGGAGCAGCTGGAAAACCTGGTTGGGGTCCAGGCAGTGATACTGGTGGGTTTCCCTTGCATTGCTCAGCATACCCAAGCAAAGCTGCTAAGTACTTCTTCAGGCAACACCTTTGCAATGATGAGAGAAAAATTAGTGTGGAGTGAGGTATAATGGGGATTTGTACCTGTCCTGCAACACGAGGACACAGTCGGGTTCACCCCCAGAAAAGCAGCTGGAGATGAGCAGCTCCTGATCCCCCTGGGTGCATCGCTGAGCAATGTGCAGACTGAAGCAGTGCTTCCAAGATTATTCACATGTGGACAAGTCATAGCATCTCCACAGACCCCAATCTGGGCTGTTCTTGAAGCTGGGGTAAAGCATCAAAATGTAATGGACACCTCTTGCTAGGGGAGAAACCAGCCCATGGGCTGCTACAGAGGAGCACCTGCACCTTCGGGTAGCTGAAGGATGTGTCCCCAGAGCAAGGACCTGCTAGGTGGTGTGGCTGGCTCAGGGGATGACTGCTGTTCCCCTGGAAGCCGCAGTCCCAACAGGCAGGAGAATGTGAAGCTGGGCTGGGAGAACCGTCTGTTCCCTCTCTGACTGATTCCTGCTCCCCCTTGCAGATCGCCTGAGAACAGAGCCCTTCCAGGAGGAGACATTTCTGCAGAACTTCATGGCTGAGGTAAGGAGTGGTGCCAGTCCTCCTCCTTCATCCAACCAAGGTGTTGTGAGGAGCGAAAACCAGAGGCCCCAGTTTGTGGTCTGCTGGGCTGGATGGAGAGCCCTGGTAGGGATGGCTGGACTTGGCTAGAGAGGGGTAATGCTCACTGTGCTCTCATGTGTCCCTCCTTGAGCCCTTGTGTCTGATCTGAAGGACAATCTGGGCTGGGGACGTGTCTTCCATTGGAGATACAGCACTGTGTTTTGTTACCCTCTCACTGCTGCCTGGCTGCTGGAATTGCCAAGGCTGTGAGCCGAGCTGGCTGCTCTGAGAACACCTTCCTGTGGACCTGAAAGCCTGACGTTGACAGCAGGCAGAGAGCAGATGAATGAGGAGATGCCATTTGTTCTGTTTGGTTCATCTTTGGCTTTTAGGAGTGGCTTCGCAGTGGTTGATTGTGCAGCTTGTTCTTAGTGTCATGCCCACCCCTCACCCCATGGCACGCTTGGCTCTGAAATCAGATACGTGTTTTGGAGAAAGTGAAGTTGGAAGCGGAAGCTTTCCTCTGCTCCCTTTTTATCACAGAAGCACTAAAATGGTTCGAAGCAATGTGGAAATGTCAGAAATTATTTGATATCGATGAGCGCAAAGAGACTCCGGAGCTTTTGCTTGCCAGCTGTGCAGGAGTGGGGAGCAGTAGCAGGGGACCCAGGTATCACCTAGGAACACAGAGCGTGGTGTCACACATGCTGCATAGAGAGGATGTTGCTCTGTGGGACACGTGCTGATGTTCTTGTACAGCGGGCTATACACCATCTGCAGGGCTTCTAAAAATTAGAGGCGATCCTCCTTTACATAGGAGGCATTGCATCCAGCATAGGCAGCTTTCGTTTCCCCCTGGTTATGATGGATAGAGACAAATTCATTGCTGGACTGAAACTTAGAGGTTGCTTAGGGACCGATGATCATGACCAGATTACATTCACCCTGGGCAAAGAAAGGACATTCCTAAACAGTAATTTATATCCTTCATGCTCTGAAAGGGCTAATTTCCCAAAGCAGGGGGAAATTATGAGTGAAATCAGCTAGGAGGAAGCATTTAGATAGAAAAATGTGAATGAAAATTGTGAGCTCTTTCAGAAGAATCTCAGAAGCCAAAAAAACCACAATTCCACAATCAAGAAAGAGGGCAGCGCTGGCCGAAAGCCCGTTCTGGTTCAGCGGCAAAGTGAAGGCAGCAATTAGAAATAAAAGAGCAGTTTATAACAAATGGGAGAGCAGGAGTAGATAGCAATCCATATAAATTAGAAATTATGAAGTGTAGAAAATGGGTAACAGAAGCTAAAGACATCAGGGAGAAATCATGGCGAAGGACAGAAGGAAAAGATTTTATTTAGTGCGTTAGGAGAAAACCCCAAAGTCTCAGCGACGGGCTGAGCTTGTTAGTAGGTGGAGGTGGTAAGATGATTGATAGTGAAGCAGACACGGCAGAAGTGCTGGACAAATGTTTCTGTGCTGCTGCTGGAATGATGCAGGTGGACGTGCCGGTACTGGGAGAAGATAAAGTATGTCTCTGTCCAAGGGATGGATGCACAACATCTGCTAAAGATGAATGTGGGGTGGAAGCTTGGGGTCTATGCTCTAGGGCATGGGAGAAGCTGCTCGGTGGTGCTGGGAGGCTGCTTGTGCAGGAGGGAGGGGGGAGCTGCCCACTTTCTCTGCGCAATTCCTGGAGAACTCCCACTGTGAATTTTACAGAATCTCTACCAGGATTTCTGAGCCCTTTTCCCAGGCTGAGCATTCTTTGGGCTTTTAGCCTTCTGCTGCAGAGAAGCTGTTAAAGACTTCTGCATACCTCTGTGTCTGTTCATTTCTACTGCATCCTTTTGGAGAGGTGGCAACAGGGCTGCATGTACCTGGGATGGATTCACCCCAAGGAGCACCGTGATATTTGCTGCTGTTTTTTCTCTTGTCCCCTCATCACTCTTGATTTCCTTTTGCCCTTCTGGCTGTGAGGCTGGAGTTTCCAGACATCTCATGGCATCAACAGGGCATCTCCTTGGCAGGAGCTGCTGCAGTGTTCTGCTCAGGGAATGTGAGGCTAATTGGAGTAGTTTAAACAATCTAGTTATCTCTGCATAATGGGCAGGTATTTCAACACTGTGTAGCATTGTAGTAGGAGCAGCAAGAGGTGCAGGAGGGGCAGAGGGTCCCTCTGGGCACACTGCAGGATGCTGGGAATGCTGCCACCAGCTCCCATGCCTGGGTTGTAAAAAAGATACTGGGCAATCAATGCGGAGTCACAGGAATTAATTGAGGGCTAGAGAGAGCTTGGCATTGAGCGACTTGGAAGGCAAGAGCTCTGTCTAGCTTATCAGAAAGAAAATTGAGAGGTGCCTTGATTGCAGTGCATGAGGGTCTTTACAAGGAGAAGATGCTGGTTAGCAAAGGGCTCCCTTTAATCTAGCAAAGAGCAGTAGGATGTGAGCCAGGCACAGGGAGTCAGAGCCAGGCGATTCCCAGCTAGGACAAAGGCACATGGTTTTGCTCCTGAGGGTGATTAACAACTGGGATATGTTCCCAAGGGCAGTGGTTGAGTCTCCATCTCTTGATGTCTCCAAAAGCGGGCTGGGAGCCTGCTGGGAAGCAAACCAAGATGCTGGGCTCAGTATTGGGCTGTGCGTGGTTAAACATCAGTGGCTGAGAGGTCAAATGGAGAGCTCGGATGGTCCCTTGTGCAATGGGACTGTAGACTGCAGATGTTTAATGAGGAGGGCAGCGTGATGGGGTGCGGGGCCGCAGGATGCAGGAATGCACTCCATTGCTTTGCCTGTGGCAGCCGTGAAGCCTCAACTTCCCAAACTGGTGCATGCCCCATGGAGAGGAAAGGACCTGCCAGCCCCAAGGGCAGAGCTGCACGGGAGCACACTGCTAAGCATGCCTTTTCACAGGGCTCTGAGGCCAGGGTGTTGTAACTAATCGCGGGGAGTTTTCCAGCAAAGCCCTGGGAATATTTATACGTTTAGGAAACGACGCTTTCACACACGCAGTTTTTGGCAAGTGTTCACTGCTTAGCAGCTGCCTGCACTCAGGCAGAGCTAAGGGAGAGCAACGGCCACGCGTACGGCGAGGTGAAGGTGGCAGCTTTTATTGGCAAGCCCAGGGGCTCAAATGGGGAGGGGGAAAAGTGAGCAGCTGCAGGGCTGAGCACCCTGGGGCTGTTGGTCCAGGGGCACACATCTACAGCAGGCACTGCTGCAGAGCCCGATGGTGATGAGGGTCATTTCTCCTGCACTGGCCCAGCCACAGAACAGTCAAAACCACTGGGATAAACTCACAGATATGATCAGTTCAAATATAGCCCCTGCGCCCCAGGATGCTTCACCCTGCATATTTTTATCTCCTGTGGCCGGTGAGCGCTGGGGTGGATGCTCCGCACCTCCGGCCGCCCTGTGCACTTGGCTTGTGGTGTAGGGCCCCGGCAAACAGGACGTGGAGGGTTCACCGGTTGACCTGGCCCAGCAAGGAGGAGGATGTGCCATCAAAACAAGCAATGCTGGAGAGGAAGATAAACAAACACCAGCTTCCAGTGTGGCCCCGGCTGAGGGCAAGTGGGAGCTCTGGGCTGGGGCTGGTGGGGCGGCAGGGTTGACGTCAGGGAGTGCGGGGGTCAGAGCCCCATCCCATTGTTCTGCAGCAGGGCTGGGACAGGGCCAGGCCTCTGTCCCCATCCCACAGGGCACAGGGGCATGCGGGCAGGTGGAGGGCTCTCCCTGAGGTTGCTGGCTCTCACCTGCCTGGTGCCAGCATGTGCAGCCAGCCACCTGCCCAAGCTCTGCTTGCCCACACCATTCTGCCTCTCCCTTTTAATGGGTGCTAAAAATAAGCCTGGGGATGGGAGCTGCTTCTGGCTGCCCATGGGTGACGCTGGCTATGTGTTGGGGAGGGCAGGGGCCATGTCCATCCTGCAAAACCAGCCCGCTGTGGCAGGGTGGCAGAGGAGGAAACAGCCTTTTGGCTCCTTCTGATGACAAATGGTTTTAATTAGTGCAAGGTAGCTGTGGCTTTGCATCTGCCTCTGGGCCAGTGACACGGGCGTGATGTGGGGCTCACATCGTCGGTGGCACAGGGTGATGCTGCACGTGCTCATCTGTACTGGGCTCCATCTGCATGGCACCGGGAAGGGCCACAGCTCTGCGCTAGCAGGGACAAGCCATGGGTCCTCATGGCAGGGTGGAGGTCAGGGCAGATGGGGAACATGGGGCTGGCTCTTGGGGATGCCTGGCTGGAAGGAGCAAGCCCACATATGCATCCAGGCCTCAGAGGTGCACTCAGCATTGAGCAAAAGCACACGTGTGCGTGCCGGCACTGATGTGTGCATTGGGCAGAACGCAGCATCCCATTTCTGTACGCTACACTCATTTCTGTGCACCCGTCTGCAGGTTGTGGAGAGAGGGGCAGTTTGGGGTGAGTGTGGGTACCCACTGCTGCATGGGGGCTGACCGCTGCGTGGGCGCCAGGCCCGCCCCGTGTGTTTGCCACTGAGGCGCGTGGCGGGCGCAGTGTGGCTTTATTTATTTATTTGCTCAGGCACCATCAGGTGAGGGGGGCCCCGACTGGGCCGCGCTTTCTGGGCCGCCGCTGGCAACCACAGGCCGCTTACACAAGCGGTGAGTCAGTGGAGCTGCACACTGCTAAAACCAGACTTGGCATGGGCACTGCGGGACAGCGGGCTGCCCAAAATAGCACCCAGACCGTGGGCAAGGAACAAACCCCCTCTGGCACAGCTGGGGCCTTGCTGGCTGCCTGCCTGCTGACTGTGATTGCTCCATCACGGCAGCCCATCCTGCCCTGTTAGGGCTAAGGATGCACCCTGTAGGGTGCCTGCTGCAGTGTGGGGCTGGTAGCCTGACCCCAGTGGCTGTGGCTGCGTCCAGCCACAGTCCTTGCACTGCGTGACCTGGAGAGCATGTGACACAAGCTGGGCACAGGCAGCCCGTGTCACCTGGAGACTTTTTTTG